TCAAAGTTTATAGTTTTTTAATGTAGATATCTTTAATTCTGTGTTTTATATTTATCTTTAGTGTTCCGTTTCCTCTCTGTTTTACCTTACTGTCTTAACCTCTACGGAACAGCACAATCTTAATCTATTAATCTGTCACCATTAATGTAAGGGCTACAGAACAACCACAAGACAGAAATATGAAGAACTGAAAGTCACACCTCTTTTCTTCCACTTTAATCAGCTGACAACCTCAGTTTTATAAATTAATGAGCTTGTAGCTCTCACATGGTACCCACTTCCTCAATCTTTACTCGATGCCTAAGTGGGAGAGCGCATGGCACTGATTGATCAAGGGTTTCATCAATGGTTACTGTGCTAAACTTGCTGATGACAGTTGTTCCTAACCTGGGGGTCAGAACCTACACAAAGGGACATGGAAAGATGATTAAAATATTAAAAATCAATTCTGCTCCACAAAATGGATCTAAAGCGTTACCAAACTATGTTTAGTTTTCAGGATTCTCACTCACTATTGTCTTTGTCCTGAACATTTTTATTTCCTTACAAATTAACTTCCACTGAACTGCTCACAACTTATAGACATTCACCCTTTGACAGTAAGTCATAAGCGGACATTGCAAAAAAGGTTACACATCACTGTAGTGGAATTTGTTACTGCAACTTTACCAAACATGAATTGCTCTTTCTGTTCTTATTTACCTGTAGGTGCCGCAGTCATTTTATCAAGGGGAGAGGATGATTATGAGGAAATGGAGTTTGATTTTTATTCATACGAAGACAACATCTCCCTAATCTTGTCTGAAGAAGATTATCAACACTGGCCAGGTGACTTGACCTCTCTTTCGTCCCTAGATAAATTCCGCTGGTCCTTGTTCTCTCACTTGTTTTCTTTATGTTAGCACAGTGTCATCCTGAGGCTGCTCTAGGCCTACGTGTTACAAGTCTGCAAATACAAGCACATATTTTACGAATATGCGTAGATAATCTTTGCTGTGCCACTTTCTGGTGTGCCCAGTCCTATTATGATAAAATGTTCTGTAAATAATGTTTTACACTCATGTTGTTGCACTTTAATGGATTAACTGTTGTCTCTCTCTGCCTACAGCTCCCAGCAACCACTCTCACTTCTCCTCTGCAGCTAACCTCAGCCCACTCCATCTGGTCTATGCTCTCTTGGTTATGTTCATGTTAGCATATTAAAACCACTGTTTTTCCTGATGTGATTTCACTTAAGTTTCATTTTGTTTTTTATTTTTTGTTGATACATTTTTGAATTTTGGCTTCAGAGAGGAAGTACATTTTGTGGAGCACTTGTACTTTAAAACACTTGTCACTTGTACACAAAATATCACAATCTCTTAATTAAATGGCTTGTTTTTTTTATTTTTAAGCTATGACAGGACAAGATTGGTTGTTGGAAGTATTGTGGTGCGTCTGTTT